AAAGAAACCCTTACTTTTCAGCCATGTTGGTGTCCTTCAAAATATGAACATAAATAAACAGAGCTTGCTCATGCTTCCCCATACGGCCCAAGAGCAGAGCACGTTCTTCTAGGAGACCTAGTGATAGAATGATTAGTCAATAGCTGAAGAGAAATGACAACACAAGCTCCACTGGTGACCAGACCAGCAGAAGGAACCATGAACTATAGTCTAAGCATAGGTTAACATTGAGACTGCAAGTCTACTTCACACTAGTCTCAGTAACATTTAATGAATTCTTAAGTAACCTTAAGAAACAAACTTCTTATCTATTGATTAATTCAGACTCAACAAAATATTAGGCTAAATATTTAAGTGATGGGATATGCCACAAGGTCTTAGGTCAAAAGGAATCCTGCAGAGACTGGTAAACCCAACTGTGCCAGCAAAACCCAAGTCAGTGTACACCAGTATACAGACCAGCAGCCTACAACTAGAGATGCAGCCATCTTCTCCACTTCTAGTTAGCATGACTCTACAATAAGCGAGGAGATTCTGCTGTACAAAGCAATAAGCTAGGGTTTAATTAACCTATGGAAACTGAACTCACCATCAAAGGGGAAGTCACTAATTAGTCGACTAGGTTCATACCAGGTAGACTTCTCCAGAAACAGCAGAAGCTTCTTCCGGTAATCTCCCAAGTCTCCTCCTTCCTCTCCAGCAGGCACTGGAGTTTTATCTATATGGAAGACAACAATGTAAGCTATGGTATTACAACTATTTCATTACACTAGTACACAGAAAATAAAACATTATGAGGAGAACCAAATGCTGATGGAACTGCTACACAGGCTGGGATTGTGGTGCCACCTGCCAAATCACTTCAGTTCCTTAAAACACATCAAGGGGCTGGTTAAACAATAGACTCACGTCTGCAAGGCCCTTTCCCACCCTTATGTGCAGAATTCATTGACCTGGAGCTGCCATTGCACTTAATCATGAACAAATCATTATTGGTCCCCTAATATCTCTAGGGAGGCAATGAACTAGAACTCCCTACAAACCCACAACTTTTGTTGTCCCAGTTCCTTCACCACTTGGGATAGCTTCTGGATGTGAACAGGGAACACTTACACAATGCACTGCTAAGGCTCCCCTGTGCTGTCCCATGCCTCATGCCTTCCCACCAAAAAAGCCTACACATACCTGGAGGGAACTTCATCAAGCCCTGCACTTTCTCACAGTACAGCTGGATCAGACAGTTATGGAATTCTGCACCTGTTTCTTCCCAGACATGAATGATGTGTTCCTGTAAATAAACATTCAGGTTCAGTTATAGACACTTCCTCTGGGAAATAATTTGTTGTAAGCTAGCAACAGTTTCATGCTTGCCTTTACCAAGCTAGATGTCAGGATTTCATATGTTTTATTTTTACCTTTGCACAACTTCTGGCAAAGCTCATACTCTAAGCCAGCATCAGGCTTACTAAAGAACTAAAGCCTTACCTGTAACATGTACTGCATGTAATGCACTAGTAGAGATTGAGTTCTTACCAGATAAGGAATAGTCAAGCTTTTAAAATTTTCTATCAAGAAACTGAGCACTTTGTCTCGTGGCAAAGCTTCCACTTCTGGGAGGTCTTCTGTGAATATCTGTTAAAGAAAATTTTATTCATACAATGGGGTTTGGTTTTGTATGCTTGGGGTTTTTTGTTTGTTTGGGTTTGGTTTTTGTAGGTTGGGGTTTTTTTGGGTTTTTTGTTGTTTGCTTTTTTTTTTTTTTTTAAGTACCATGGTTTATTTCCTCTGAGGCACTGAAGCCCAGCATATCATCATATATATCCAAAGAGTAAGCACAAGAAGCATAAAAAAAAAACCTGAGCAGCTTATTCAAGCATTCAGAAGCTACCTCACATTTAAAGAATTAACAAACATCTGCCTTAGGTAACACTCTTTTTCACAGTGCCCAACACCTCCCAAATACAGGGAGACAATTCTATAACAGAGGAAAGGAAAATAAAGGCAAATTAATATTTGACATTTAAATGCTCAGTCAGGCTCTTGTGCAAAGTGTGACATAAACAACATTAAATGTGGTATTCAAGGTTCCTAGCTACCTATTTTAAGGTACATTGAGTTCTCCCAGTTTTTTATGCTGTACTAAGAATCTCAGTAGCAAGGTGCCTGTTTCAACCACACTTACCTTCAGTCCATCTTCAGGAAAATCTCTTAGCACCCAGACAGAGTAGGAAAATACCAAGTGCAAGTTCTCTGTTCCTGGAAAACAAAAAGCAGCAGTGCTTAATGTTAAAATACTGAAGTACTATTTACTCACACAAGCAGATGCTTTCAGAGCTGGCAGCTTGATGTAGGAGGAATCTGTTTTTTTCCCTGCTCAAGTAAAATCAAACATTCCAGGCTAAAGCCACAATTTCATTACCTTGCAAACCTGATTTCAAAGAAACAAGAATTAACCAAAGTACTAAGTGCCATCAAATGTAAACAATTCAGACCACAACTGAGCTCAGTTGCCTTAATCACATTCCAGAAGTTTTCCCTTTCAGTTTGTTTTTATTAGGGTAGACAAAGCACTGTACTTTTTACTTGTGTAATTACCTTCAGTGCAAAATGTACCTGCCCATGGCAGAAGGGTTGGAACTAGGTGATCTTTAAGGTCCCTTCCAACCAAAACCATTCTGTGATTCTATCCAGCCTGTCAGTCTAGTGACTTCTACAGCAAATGGTCAAATACCCTGTAACAAGTAGTAGAGCACCCCAGTACTGAAGTTACCAGCATAGACACTACATGACAGGGAATAACTTTGCATCTTCTAAAAAAATCTAAGACCTGCCTCTTAAAAAATACTTTCATTTGGACAATTTGGTTCACAAAGTTTATAAAACATGTTAGGAAAACATGACTTTTCCTTCACTTTCCTGACCAGAACCACCCAGGCATTCACTGTCCAAGAAACAGAAGCCTACACCAACCCCCATAAAAAGGCAGCCACTGTTTGCTTTTCTTCACCTCACAACATCCTCAGGAATAAGTTACTTTTTAAATATTTAAAACAAGCAGCATCTTCAGAGTAGTGGTATTTTAAAAAACAGAAGATGAGTGCTATGAAGTACAACAGTTAAAGTAGTCCCCAGAAGAGCCAATTTCAAAGTTTAAGAAACAAAACAGTGACTTGACAAATGGCACTATGGTCATGGGTCTGGATTTCACTGAACTGCAATTAACTTTCTGAGCTCTGAGGCCATTGTATAGGAATGGATTTGTTAGCCTCACTGAGAAAATTTAAAGAAAATTTAACAAATTTAAATAAATGTAAATTTACCCAGAATGAAACTTAAAGTAACTAAAAATACATCCTGTATAATTAAAAAAAAAACCCTAAACATTAAAAATCACTTATGATTTAGATTAGAAGCTTGTAACAACAGGAGCCTCAAAGGGGGGGCAGAGGGAAAAATCTGTAGAAACCCCACTGTCTGAAATTCTTTTACACTCTTATCTAAGGGACTCCCAAAAATGACAGGTATCAATTAAGGCAGATTGGGCAGTGCAGTTAAAACAGCATGTGTGCATCCCACCAATAAACCAGTAAACATCCAACATAAGTCACTCAAGATGAATTTATCAGGATGACAGAACTGTTTTTAAAACAAGATTAGAAGCTGCTTTTATAAAGCTGTAAGCTGAACATAATGTACCTACAGTTCTCTAAGATGAGTGATGTTGCCAAATGAGCAAGAAGTTTAAGAGTAATGAGACATGGCACAAACGGGAAGGGTCTCATTGTTGAATTTTGAACAGATTATTGTTGAATAAACAAGTGGCTAACAGAAGCCAGCAGTTCTTAAAATAAGTAATTATAGGAAAAGCTGTCAAACTTTGCCAACAGCATATGAGACGATCAAAGTTATTTCCCTCAAACTACTCATTCCCAGACTAGAAATGTGGTAAAGAGCTGTGCATTTAGAAATAATGTTTTTGGATAAGAGGGGACTATTCTCAGAAGCAGCAAAACCAAAAAAAGGACCTGGGAGTTGACAATAGCCAGTTAAGAAGATTCCTACCAAAATGTTGTGACCAGCGACTACAGCTGTTGGGTCATTATCTGTGTCTAGCTAAACACAGAACACAAAACTTTATACAGAGTTCTTCATCTTGGGAAAGATACTACAAGCTCCAGCAACGAGAAGTTAGACTTTCAGCTGGAAAGCCTAACTCAGAAGTTAGACTTGCCTTTTGGCAGTGATGGTAAATCATCACTGGAAGAAAATTCAAAATAGTATGACACATTTTCTACCAACAGAAATTTTTTATCAGAAATAAGGTATGTTTTCCAAGAAGACACTCAAGTTTCAACAAGACTTTTTTGAATTAACCCTTGAACTAAACCAGACAAGAGGGCAAAGATACTCTTTAGCGTGATAGACTCTAGAAAGTTGCTGAAGAGCAGAATAACCACTAAGCCTGACCAGTGTAACACCTCCACAAAAACAATACTCCTTCACACTCACCCAAATGCTGCAGATACTGCACAGTTCTCTCATGACCCTTCAAAGGCGAGTTGGCTTTCTTTGACTGATCCACCAGTACCTGTAATGCTTTCAGAACAATAAAAAAGTTAATTGCTTTATAACCACAAGTATCATTCTGGCTTGAATCATGAAGAAAAGTGTGTTTTCCCTGCTCTGCTACTACAGGCAGCCAAGTTTTGTTTTAAACAAGCAGGCCAAATGGGTAACAGGAACAAGACTGATACAATCACGAGACAGACTCAGAAACAAAGTCTCTTCAGAATACTGTCTGCTCATTGAGGACAAGTCAAAACTCAATACTGGGAATACATGCTCCTATCCCTTCCCTCCCCACCTCAACCTCATACCCACCTTTCTCATGCAGACCTTTCTTCTCATACAGTATTATCAGCTCACTGTACTTGTGTGCCTTCTTTAGTACGTGCTCACTCTCCTCAATATGGCAGTGATTGTTCTCCAGGCGTAGTAATGGTGCCACCAGTGCTACATTTGTCTGCAAGCAAAAAGGGAACACTTACACATACTTTTAATGTGCATCTACTAAGCTTATAGCATAAAGCATGAGCTGAAATGAAGGAAAAAAAAAAAAGCCTTATAGCAGAAGAAATGACAGTTCAACAAACATACTTTTAACGTGCATCTACCAAGCTTATAGCACAAAGCATGAGCTGAAAGGAAGGGAAAAAAAAAAGCTTTATAGCAGAAGAAATGACAGTTCAACATTTTAGAGCAAGGCCCAACTTCATTTCCATAATTTGTTAGGACAGAAAGAAAACTATCTATCAGAGCTACTCCCCCTTCAAGAGCAGAGGCCAGCTTTGAGAAACACTGTTGACAACTAAGACCCTACTCTCCTGCATTTAACAGTACAAGGCAACAAGAGAAATATTCATTAGAACTTCAAAATATACAAGCATGGCCTTATCCTCCTTCTTGGATATTTCAGCCTTAAATTCCACCAGAGCTTGCATGGTAAAGGAAACTCACATGGAGGTAGCACTTTAACAGAGTGGTGTCAATGATTTGTAGCAGCTTCTTTTTGGATTTGATTGTGGGTGTTCCTTCCATGAGGGGTGAGGTACTGGACTGATGGTCAGAATCATTTAGCTTCTTCACCAGCTGACTTCTTTTCTGGATGACATCAAATGAAATTTTAACAGGAAAAGGCCATGGATTTCACAATCCCACCTCAGCAAACAAAATCCACTAAATAAAAAGACTAAATTAAACCAATTTAACAACTTGTTTTAATTATTTCCTGAAGAAATTTTATCCTTACTAGCTATTCAATACATCATCTTTCCAACCACATTCAGGTCTATACATTAGGTTTAGAAATTTATAGTCTTGCAAGATGTCTGAAGTCTGGAGAAAACAGTCAGAAGGAAACTCTGTTAAACTGAACAGAGACATTTTTTAGATAAGTCAGAAGACTTCTCTAAAAATTCAAGTTTTGAACTATGAGGCACAAAAGCTATCCTCCTTCAGACACAAGTTTCCTTTTAGTCTAGTAAGAATGGCAGCAGAGAAATTCAGATTCCAGTTACAACAAAATAAAGAGGACAGGAAGTTACAGCACCCACTGCCTCCTGTTCCAGCTTTTAATGCACACTCTTCACCTCTCTCCTGGACAGAGTGCCTTCCACAAGTCACCAAAGCCAAAAGATCAAGAGCTCAAGTTCTCTTCAGAATGCATCTAGAGATAAAATACTGGACTCATATTCAGATCTGGTCCCTAAGTAAATTTTGTCCAGTCCTCACAAAAGTCACATGTGATGTCTCCTGCATATCTGTAGGACACCTCACATCTTCCAGTTCCCCCATTTTGTCAGGAGCCATAGTTTCCAACCATGAAGAGAGCCCACTAAGGCTAGCATGACAGAGCTGGAGTAGGCGTACTGCTTCCTGCACATCAAGAGTTAACCCACAAAGTAAGTTAAAACTGAATAACCCTGCTCTAAAAACAGAGAGAGGAGCACTCACTTGAGTTAGGTAGTCTATCAGAGCTAAATGTGCCTTCTCCAGCTCTGCCCCAGAGAGCCCTGGCAGGGGGTTGGGATACTGTAGCTGTTTCCTGTAATCTGTGGGCAGGAGGTCAGGATACAGACCCATCACATGAGTGGGATCTAAGCAAAAAATAACTAGTATTAGTAACCATTCATAACATTAGTTTTGCAAACTCTTAAAATATATGTAACCTTTGAGCAAACTTGGCTTTCCAACAGAGCTGTCTGTACTTAAGTTGTACCTCCACAAGTTTCCAGATAACAAAATTTGCTTATTACAGAAAAGAAGCTAAAACAAGGCAAAAAAACACAAGAGAAAGACTGTTTCAAAGTCCAAGCACAAGTTGTAACCTGTGTGCTTGGAACACCTGGAGGATAAGCAATCACTATAATCCTCTTAACTGCTCTTCTTGCATAGTCTTACCGCTAAGACCTCTGACAGTAGGATGGGATTTCTAAAGAACAAGCAAGGCTTTAAGAGAAGATTTGCTGTGCTTTTGAAACAAGAACTGTGTAGCCCCATCTGTAACTAATGAGCACCCATTTTCATAGCATTTAAGCAAATGCAAAATCACTGCCCCCTAATTTATGCTCAAAGTATTTGAGTTCTCAGTCATTGAGTTCTCAGTCAAAAACTACTCATTGTAGTTTTCCAAAGTAAATATGATGCAAAGCATCATCAAAATAAGTAAAAGTTCTAGGTTTGAATGCTCAGGGTATGTGCTCATCACCAATAAAAGAAACTCAGTCTAAAGCACTGTACAGTCCACACCTAAGGTATTCTTCCTAGAATTCAAGTACAAACCAGAGGAATAACATCAGAGACTATTTTGACTTCCAAAAGCACAGAAACTTTTCCTGACTTCAGCAGCTTGGTCCATTAAACAGGAAAAAGGGTTAAGGATCCTCAGCTTGGCCCAAGCCCAAGGAATTAGCAAATTTACAGATGTTCCTTACTTTTCATTCCAAGCCACAAGTAGGCTTTGGGCAGCTGCTTAAAACCTCAGTTTCAAGGGTCTGCATACAAGCTATACACACTGTCAAATAGCCTACAACACAAATATTCTGCACAGACAGCACATGCATTAACTTAACTCACTGACTAAAGTTAATTAAGTACTATAACCAGTTTCACAAACAGCAGCTCAACAGCTGCCTAGGCTACTTGCAACTCACAGAGGCCTGATCTGCTGTTATAAAAGAAAAACAAAAGAGAAAACAAACAGAAAACCCCATACAACAGTCTGTGAGCTCCATCTCATTCCTCCAAACCCAGGTATCTCAATGCCATCCAAAGCATTTACCTGTACCAAGCTTGGCAAAAACCTGCATGGATTCATCAAAGCGCTTCTGGCAGAAGAGGTTGAAGGCAAACAGGTTCTTTATGTGGTGAATCTGTTGTCGCTTCTCACTATCTGAATCATCTTTCATCTCCTACACACACACAAATTAATGACCATTAAAAACTCTTGGGCCTCATAAATGAGGACAAACCACTCTACTGAAACAACAGGAATACTATCCTTTAGAAAGAGTAAGAAGAAAAAAAGCACCTCTGATGGTGCTTATTGTGTCTCTAGTTATCTATACAGTCACTCTATCACAGCAACTCTGCATTCTGCCTTTTCAAAATTGCTGTTTCAAGTCAGCCATACAAAACGCAGTTAATTCATTTTAATGTAGTTCCAGGGAAGTTCCCAGGAACCAGAAAATCCTGCAACAGTAAGGGCAACATAATTAAACATACTGCTCCAGCATCTAAGAAATTATTATATTCCAATATAGAAGTAATACGGAGGGCCACTACAGAAACAAATGGTCATTTGACAAAACAAAACCACACAACTCCAGAAAAACTCTTTACAAGCAATCTGAAGACTCTGAAGTCCAACTGACTTCAAAGACTAAAAGAGGTAACCAATAAGCAGTTAAGAGAATCTTTCACATGCAACATGATCTCAAAATCTAAACGAGAATAGATCAGTATGGAGAAACAGCAGCACAAAACTAAAACTTTTTAAAGTCAAAAAAGGGCAGATTTTACCAGTTTTTGCAAAGTGGGCAGTAGGGAGGTTAAACTCTCTGGACTGGCTACACTCAAGCAGAAGGCAAACATCCTTTTGTGTACAAGTGCACCTGCTGCAAACCCAAAGGATTTTCAGTACTTACTGCCAACTGCAAAGCCAACTCAAACTGCTTGTCCTGCAGAAGCTGCTGGATCTGTGTGGCTATGGACACTGGAATGAGCCTCCAAACAAAGTGATTGCTTGCCACGTATATAATATTTGTGCTGTAAACAACACAGAAAGGTCAGTTACTAAGTTCCAGCACCAAGACAGAAGCAACATTCTATCTGAAAAAGCCAATCCTGGTTAACACATACATGGATCAATCAGATACATGGGCAACTGGAGCAATATTTCAAAGCAGAAAGGAGAAGAATGTATCAGAAATTGCCAAAGACACTCAACTCCACCATTTACTCCTCAAGGTATGGCCTCCACCCACCCGTTCATAGAAAACAGACTGCTTTGAGAGAGTCAGAAATCCTGTTCCTCTTCCTCTCTTTCAGAGTGCTACCATGTGCCCAGAGATCCCCACCAAAGTAATGTTCAGTGATACTCAGATACCCTCCAGAAGTGATGAAGCGTGGCCTCTGCAGCTCAATGCTCTGCACCAGCAGCCGGGGCTCAAACGTCCGGATCTCCACGTACCTTGGCAGAACAGCAATGATGTAGGGAGGCTGGTGCTCTGCCAGGGAAAAAGAGAAGATGATTGTTCTCAAGTGTTCCCTGAAAAAAGCCATGACTTCAAGGAAGCCTTCTCTTCAGTTTTATAAAAATGTGTCCTTTCTGGCTTATTAAAAGCAAAACTCCACACCCAACACTGACAGCAGTTTCCTAATACACTCCTACAGGGGTTTGGTTCATCTTTCAACATAAGGAAATTCTGTGGCACTCAGGTGCCCAGAACAACAACAGAGCTTTGACACACTACCTTCATTTCAAATCTCATCCCTTTAAAAAAGATAACCTACATGCTTCTTTTCTGAGTCTGACATACAGACTACAAGCAAAGAAGAGTAAGAAACAAAAATAAAACCTTCTACAGAGTACAACTTAAAATACTTAAGAAACTGTCACACTCCAAACCCAGCTAGGTTAAATACTGGGAACATAACAATTTTGTCATATACAAAGGAGTAAAGCAACATTTTCTTTTGTAAATTACTGGTAATTCTCACCCATGGCTATAGGAATATCTGTCCAGTTCAAGGCACATTTCTGAGTACAGACCCCTTCTTCATTGAGCACAACTGTTAGATCATCTTGGCCAACTGCAACTTTTCCATCTGCTACAGGAGCTACCAATGGTTCCAGCTGCTTCCCTGTAGGAAACAGTTCTTTGATGGATCCTTTTCCATCCACCTAGGATAATAAGGAAAAAAGCAACACCTGTTTTTCAAAATAACCTTGATTTCAAAGCTACGTCAGACCAAAGCAAAAAACTCCCCAGACAGATTTAACAACTCAGATTAATTTTTTGGTAGCAGCTTTTCTGTCTGCTACAGATCAGTGTTGCCATCCATGCACATACATGGGGTGCACTTCATCTTATTCTCCCATAACATCAGTAGAAGCCAATTGTAAAGGCATAAAAGAGAATCAAATATAGCTGTCAAAGCATAAGTGGAAACTGTAATGCTAAATTAACAATAGTAAGTTTGTAGACTTACAAACTGAAACAACTACAGTCCAGCAAAAGAATTAGAAGAAGAAAAAATGGTTAAGTTCCACTGTCTGCCAGTTAAGTTGTTCTTGGTCTTTTTTTCATTTTAAAGCTATCTCCTTTCTTCATACGTAAAATAAAATGCAAACTGAGCTTACACAGTCTGCCATCAAACCAAAATATACCTTTTCTGATGCCTTTTTTCTGCAAGAGCTGCAAATGCTGATTTCAACAGCAATAAGCAGATAATTTCCTGACAAAATATTGGTTTAAAAGGACACACTTACAACTGCCCTTTCCAAAATCCCATATAGCAAGAGCACCAAATGCTGTTTTTTATAAATATGTTAGCAAAATCCCTGAGCACAAGAGCAGCCTCCATAGTGCCCACTCCCATCCAAATCCTCTTAAAAATTGTGTTCCAAATCTTATTCTTACCCGTATCAGGTAATAGTCCCTCTTGAAGCCTACACAGATGGAATTTTCACACCAGGCCATAGACTTGGGTACATCAGGGACACTGAAGTCGCCCTGAGGAAAACAGGTTGAAATGGCTGTTAGAAGAGAAAAGCAAAACTCCAATTTGGCAACACAGAGTTCAACAGGCAACACTGCTGTTGACACCATATTCCCCACCACACACGCCTGACTTCTGGTCAAGGAATGGCAGTGGTGAACTAACAGGCTAGAGCTGTGCACAGTAAAGAGGCGTGCTCCAAGTTAGCTGGTAACTTCCTAGAAGAGCAGCACAGCTGAAAGACTCTCTACCCATTTCCATTAGTTATTTTTCCCATTCTGGTATTCCCAGGTGCAATACCCTAATCTTGTTGTCAGTAACTATCTTCAGACTTAATGACATACCTGGAAAAAAATGAGTAGACGTGGACCCACTTCCAAAGTGTTAGCTATACTTTTATAGATGCTGCCTGCTAACACATTTCACTGACTTACAATGCACTACAACCAGAATGCCAAAACACAGAATGCTGCCTTTGATTGAATTTATGAAATTGTATTAATGTCATTAATAGTGATTTCAACCACATATTTCCACTGTTAATTGCTGTTGCATGATTAAATCACTGCTG